CCCACAAGAGTGTCCTACAAGAGTGTGCTACAAGGGTGTCTCACAGAGTCCCACAAGAGTGTCCCATAAGAGTGTGCCGTAAGAGTGTCCCACAAGAGTTTCCTACTAGAGTGTCCCACAAGAGTGTCCCACAAGAGTGTCCCAGAAGAGTGTCCCACAAGAGTGTCCCACAAGAGTGTCCCGTAAGAGTGTCCCACAAGAGTGTCCCACAAGAGTGTCCCACAAGTGTGTCCTACAAGAGTGTCCCACAAGAGTGTCCCACAGGAGTGTCCCGTATGAGTGTCCCACAAGAGTGTCCCACAAGAGTGTCCCGCAACAGTGTCCCACAAGAGTGTCTCACAAGAGTCTCCCTTAAGAGTGTCCCACAAGAGTGTCCTATAGGAGTGTCCCACAAGAGTGTCCTAAAGAGTGTCCCACAAGAGTTTCCTACAAGAGTGTCCCACAAGAGTGTCCCACAAGAGTGTCCTACAGGAGTGTCCCACAAGGACACTACAAGAGTGTCCTACAAGAGTATGCCACAAGAGTTTCCTACAAGAGTGTCCCGCAAGAGTGTCCCACAAGAGTGTCCCACAAGAGTGTCCTACAAGAGTGTCCTGCAAGAGTGTCCCACAAGAGTTGTCCCGTATGAGTGTCCCACAAGAGTGTCCCACAAGAGTGTCTCACAAGTGTGTCCCACAAGAGTGTCCGACAAGAGTGTCCCATAAGAGTGACCCACAAGAGTGTCCCACAAGAGTGTCCCGTAAGAGTGTCCCACAAGAGTGTCCTACAAGAGTGTCCCACAAGAGTGTCCTACAAGAGTGTCCCGTAAGAGTGTCCCACAATAGTGTCCCACAAGAGTGTCCCGCAACCGAATCCCACAAGACTGTCTCACAAGAGTGTCCCACAAGGGTGTCCCGTATGAGTGTCCCACAAGAGTGTCCTACAAGAGTGCCCCACAAGAGTTTCCTACAAGAGTGTCCCACAAGAGTGTCCCACAAGAGTGCCCTACAAGAGTGTCCCACAAGAGTGTACTACAAGAGCGTCCCACAAGAGTGTCCTACAAGAGTGTCCTACAAGAGTATGCCACAAGAGTTTCCTACAAGAGTGTCCCGCAAGAGTGTCCCACAAGAGTGTCCCACAAGAGTGTCCCGCATGAGTGTCCCACAAGAGTGTCCCACAAGAGTGTCCCGCAACAGTGTCCCACAAGAGTGTCTCACAAGAGTGTCCCTTAAGAGTGTCCCGCAAGAGTGTCCCGCAACAGTGTCCCACAAGAGTGTCCTACAAGAGTGTCCCACAAGAGTCTCCTACAAGAGTGTCCCACAAGAGTGCCCCACAAGAGTCTCCTACAGGAGTGTCCCACAAGAGTGTCCTACAAGAGTGTCCCACAAGAGTGTCCTACAAGAGTATCCGACAAGAGTTTCCTACAAGAGTGTCTTGCAAGAGTGTCCCACAAGAGTGTCCCACAAGAGTGTCCTACAAGAGTGTCCCACAAGAGTGTCCTACAAGACTGTGCTACAAGAGTGTCCCGTAAGAGTGTTCCACAAGAGTGTCCCACAAGAGTGTCCTACAAGACTGTGCTACAAGAGTGTCCCGTAAGAGTGTTCCACAAGAGTGTCCTACAAGAGTGTCCCGTAAGAGTGTCCCACAAGAGTGTCCCACAAGTGTGTCCCACAAAATTGTCCTACAAGAGTGTCCCACAAGAGTGTCCCGAACGAGTGTCCCACAAGAGTGTCCTACAATGCAAGAGTGTCCCACAAGAGTGTCCTACAAGAGTGTCCCGCAAGAGTGTCCCACAAGAGTGTCCCACAAGAGTGTCCCAGAAGAGTGTCCCACAAGAGTGTCCCGTAAGAATGTCCCACAAGAGTGTCCTACAAGAGTGTCCCACAAGAGTTTCCTACAAGAGTGACCCACAAGAGTGTCCTACAAGAGTGTCATTTGGACATATGTAGCTTTTCGAACGTGTTTGCATTCGGGTTCGTGGGTTCCATCTTGTTTTCTTTAAGGATTCCAAAACTTCCAAAATGTACGCACTTTCTTTTCAAAATCCATTATGAAACAGTATTAAAACACAAACAAAAAAATCATTCCAGCAAAGGGGGTAGTCCAGCAAGCAAGTTTCTGTCATTATTTTGGGGGGCCCCTAGATTAATGTCTAGAGATTTGGAGCTTCTTGGATTGCAGCTTTCTTGAAACTGATCCTCTTCCTTTTGTTTTCTTTTACTTTTCACAAGCTCTTTGAGGTTTCCGTTGAGATTTGATGATTTTGAAGGTCTTTGAATGCAGATTTCTATTTAAATTTTCTACATGTCCATTGGGATTTGATGATTTTGAAGGTCTTTGAATGTAGATTTCTATTTATTTTTTGCTATTTCCATTGAGATTTGATGATTTTGAAGGTCTTTGAATGCAGATTTCTATTTAAGTGTTTGGAGATTTCCATTGAGATTTGATGATTTTGAAGGTCTTTGAATGCCGATTTCTATTAACTTTTTGAGATGTCCATTGAGATTTGATGATTTTAAGTAATGATTCCTTTTATTTCTATTCATTCTTAGTATTGCCAGAGATAGCTATGTAATGATTCCTTTCATTTTAGTATTGCCAGAGATAGCTAAGCAATGATTTTCATTTTCATCAATTGATTGGTTTTCTATCATATTGTTCTAGAGGCTCCAATTGTGGGGGAGCCCGGGGGGGGTTTATTAATCAAGAGTCTACATTAAGCCTTAACAGGTGGCTGATAGTCAATCCACCCAAATCTGCAGTATCACAAGCATCACATGCGCCAAGGGTGTTCGACATCAACGTACGGGTTCTTCCATACAGGGCACAAAGAAAACCTGGATCAAACCGTCCGATCGACAGCATGTGGCGAAGGGCTGCCGGAGATGCAAACAAATCAGCTTGACCTCTGGGAGCTTGCATGCTCAATCTTGTTTACAGGGGGTTCTTTGATGGCCTTTGCACACGCACCAGTCCGCGGATGCGACCGGAAGGGCGATCGTCCTCGCAAATGGATCGCAGGAATTCCAAGGACGTGGCACGCTGCCACCTTGAAGGAGTTTGGATATTGGTCTCCCCGGCCATGCTAAAGACCACTTTGGTTCTAGGAGTTTCCGTCAGGAAAAGGTCCTTTCTCATAGGATCCTTTGACTGCGGCCCAAGAAGCAGGAGTCGGGATACATACATGTATCAGTTTCTCGATGCCTTCCACCCCTTGAATGCTGTCAGAGCAGTTCAAGACCCGACCGCCAAGTTGGCGGTACCCCATAGCTATCCGTTGACGTAGTGTCGCCATCCGTTCAAAAGCCAATGACTCAGTCCGACCCTCCAGTTTGAATCTGGGCTCCCCCCAACAGCGAGCGTTCGGCATTCGTGAGGTCGAGCATGAGGTGCAAGAAAACCTGCCGTAATCGCTGCTGTCGGAGTGGAGTCATTACGTCCTCCACTGAACAAAGAAAACATGACTTTTGGATTCGGAATGATTCGGAGCCACTGCTCAAGCTCCAAGAGCGCTCACATCCTCCACTGAACCACAGGACGAATGAATGCCCAACGTTGTGGCTACCCCGCACCTAACCACACTTTGGTCTCATGTTGAAGTGGCTGGACATGCGACTCGCCATGTGACACTGACATACCATGCTAAAAAGCAATAAGCACCAGTCTCCTGATGACTGCACATAGGCCGCAACACAACCCCACCCCTGAATTTAGACCAAAGATTTGGCGGTGTGCAGACTAATTTTTGATGCCAGGAGGGGTTGACAACATATGACACAATGCATACCCAGCACCAGAAAGCCACTTGAAAGCTGGCCCCTTCCTTCTGCGTACGGGCTTGGCATTATCTTCCACCGGAGCAGGTCCGAATTGCACTGCAACCAAGCTTGTGTTGACAGGCGCATGACCCAGCATGCTCTGAAAACAGTTGAGGACGTTGATCTTAGGTGGATCATTGAAATCGAGCTGTCTCTATATCTATATTTTGTGCATGTTTACTTTTGACATATGCGCGGCGCCATTTATTTGGTACTAAACTCAAATACACTATTATGCGGGGCCCTATCTCGTTTAGACTACTTAAGTAGGAGGTCATGTCACAGTATCTCGTTCAGAGTACTTTAGTAGCAGATCACACTCTCTCGTTCAGACTACTTTAGTGTCATCAAGCAACTTATGCGGGGCCCTATCCCGTTCACAAGCGAATACTGATGATAGACAAGCAACTAGAGCGTGCCGTAGACTACTTTAGTAAAGCCTAAATAGAAGTGGTTGCTCATAATTGTTATATTGTAGTGTATGGTTGCATGTACTTAACATCTCCAGGTTAGACCTGCCAGGTATCGATTCAGCGATGGCTCGACGGGGTCCAGGCTTTGGGTCCACCCGTCCGGTCATCTGAGTGGCATCCACCGGCGCGGGATAAACGTGAGAAAAAGCGTGGCATATGGCACTGACAGGCAGCCGAACTCACAGCTACAGACGGGTGAACGGTGCTTTGCCACATCATCCAGTGGGCCACTCGAAGACACTCACTGAGACGGGGATCTCACCACCTCTGCCGAGGTGGGGGTCCCCATGTAGCGTGTCCGGCCGCAGGAGATGCGCTCCACTTCCTGCCCAAGTCGGTGTTCGTAGAAACGATTTTGCCTAGACATGTTTGGTCTATAAATTGCGAAGCAGCGTAGCGAAAGCCTCCTTCAGCGAGCTACAGGATCAGCAAACCCTCACAGTTAACAATGAAGTCCCAAGTTTCTGATGTCTTTCATTGTCTTTCCCTCAGCGGTAAGCAGTGGGTTGTTCAGCAAGCGCCCCTTCAAGAACTTCGACCTGAACTTAGAAAGTTGAAGATACAGTATTTCTCGATGAAACGACTTCTTCTTAGACCCATGCTTTTACGCCTTGCCTTGGGCCTGGACCTACTTGATGGCAGGATGTCTGGACTTGGCAACCAAGTAACGTAAAGAATATCTCACCAGCCTAGCTAGAACTCATGCACAGGATCACCTGCAAGCCGCATGATCATCCAACCCCCCCCGTCCACAGCTCTTACAGCTGTGTCCTCTGGCCAGGGATAGCCCGCAGGTGGCAGCGTGCGACTGCTGGAGGCAGCGGAGGCCACGGTCGTGACGGTGGCCACTGAGGCCAAGCTGGTAGTAGCTGTGCGGCTGGAGGCCTCCAAAGGGGTATTGGTGGGGTCCACCTCCAGCCTGATTGTTCGGTGCGCGGTGTGCGTACCAATACTTGAACGGCGGCTTCGACGGCTAAAGCTTTCAGTGGAAGTTGTTGTGCAAGTACATCTGAATTCTATCGAATTCTGGTCCAGAGATGAAGAGCTCCGTGACTTTCCGGACATGTATTTCAAAAGTCGCCATAATTTGCCCATTTGATTATATAGATTGTACCAACAAGCACAAAGAGACTACCTCATCACCTAGAGCGGCTAGAGCGGCGCCTAAAGGTACACCTGGGCAGTGCAAAATGGTGTATATATTTGTATATAATGGTTTCATTGCAGCAATCTAGGGCCGCCCATTGCAGGAACCTCGGCATCATTGCCTTGGAGATGGGGAAGTGAAAAAATCGGGTGTCGGTCTAAGTTCGTCTGCCTACGACAGGGGTAGCTGGATGGGTCAAGTCAGAAACTGATGCACTGATGCAAATTAATTTTTAATGAATATATATATATATATTCATATATCTTGTTTTCCTGTTTTCTTGTGATTGTCCTACAGCTGCCTGGAGTATGTTCAGTGCTGGCACCGGCGCACCTTGGCAAACCCCCCCGGCACAGGCCCTTGCCCACTCCGGGTGGGGCTCCAATTCTCGAAGCGTGCTGGCCCAGCGGGCACTGCCATGGGCTTTGCCAGCACTGGAGCCGCAGGTGGTGGAGCTGCAGCCGCCAGTGGGACAGCGGTCGGTCCACGTGGCATGGGCCCAGGTAAGGACACCACCGGCACCGTCTGCATCGCTGGCAAAGACTGGACTCGCTGGGAGCGCTGGGAGGCTGGAGAAGCATCAGGACTGCCTGTCGCCTTTCGTAGAGTTTGGCTGGACAGGTCGTGGGTGTGAGAATCCATCGCGCTCCTTAGCGCCATTGGAAGGTTGCTCCAAAATCTATACTATACACCACGCACTAACCAACAAAGGCTGGAACAGCGTTCCCAAAGTCGACCGATTCAACCAAAAATGTCTTGAAAGGCTGCACATGCTTCATTGTGCGTCTAAGCATGTCCGGAGAAGAATCACAGCTCTGCTGGCCCCCAAAAAAGGAGGGCAGCCCTTTCTCAGCTCAGACACTCCGGCTCACTTTGCCCATCTCAAACCCTGTTTTCTCCCAATGTTTGCTTGGACTTGTGGAGTGGGTTTTGTTTCTGCCAAGCAGCCACAGGCGCGAATGCTCATCGTGCATCCTCCACGGGTGCTGGTCTTCATTTCTCGACTCATTTCAACCGTCATCACAAAAGCTGTACATGTTTTCGCAGCCTTTAAGTGCCTGATCCAGCCTGTGGTCATTGTGGGCGTAACAAGATCCGCAAAAATCACAAGGACGTTTCGAAATGCATGAGATTGTCTTTTGTGGCTGAATCTGAATATGTATGTTTGACCAACTTGAAATCAGAGCGCCCTTAGCTGCATAGATAGTGGCACAAAAGGCTTGTGGTTCTACATTTATACCGTATATATAACTGTATAACTCCATAAAACTGTATAACTCTCTCTCTCTCTCTCGGCAGCTGTATAACTGTATACAGTAACCATTAACTTTAGTAAAGCATGTGAATTTAGTCTTCTCGCTGCTTGTGGCAGTGAGGTCCTCTCCCCGCACACCCCGCTCCTGCACTCTAAGCCAGTGAGCCGTTCATCCTGGTCCGACAGCTGGTCATAGACTGAGTAGCCTAGGCCAAGTCCCAAACGCATGAGTCAATGAGTGACATTTCTTTGTCAGCACATGAGGAGTGGAATCAGGCATGCTGTCTACATGTTTCTTGGCAACCAATGAATGGTGTGAAAAAGGAGATTAAAATTTCCAGGTCCCAAATCTGTGTAAACAATGTGCGCTGTGCGCCGTGCACCCGTTTGTTTTGGTGGATGTGCACTTCTGGATCTGCTCCACTGGGCTTCTGCATCCCCTCCGGGCGCTTCCCACACCGGGCGATGCCGGGCGTCCATCAGCCAAGGAGCTCACTCGTTTGCAATCTTCGACCAGGTCCTCCTCACCTGCGCTGCAGTGGACTTGCAGCTTGGGTGCTGATGGTTGAGGAAAGGCAAGGGATGGCAAAGGTAATCATAGATATCATAGTATCAATATATTCTTGGAGAGGGTTTGTCACTTGAATGCGGCCACGTCTTCAGTAGGGACGGCATCTGCAAGTGTGCAAAATCCTCCAGCTAAGGTCGGCGGAGGTGAGCTCTGCACCACCTGGCCACCTCATGCGACCTCATGATGAAACCGCTCGGTTGCGAGATTATCAGGAGAAACCTTTGTGGAATTCTCACAAGACCTGTTATTGGATTTCGTTCTTCTCAAAGCCTGCAAAGAGGTTGAGGGCTAAAAATCAATGCTACTCTGTACATGGAAATTGTGGTTGCTTTTGAAACAGGCGGGAGGCCTCGCTTCTTGCGGAAGGGAGCACCCAACAAGCGCTCCAAATATTCTGTCCGCTCTGCGACCAATCGGAAGGGCTCCTGACATTCAAGGCAAGCTGGGTGATGAATCCAGGATGTCAACCGCTACACTCCCTGGAAAAGGCCTATATAGCCTATCAGACCATCAAATGTAAAATGAGTCCCTTTTTGACTTTTCTTTTTGATCATTTTCCTGTACAAACAGGTGGTTGTCCACTGCCATGATTCTTTCAGGTGGGTTATGTGTTTCAATGCGTTTCATGTTCCCTTTTCCGGGTACCTTTGAAGGCTTCGTCGCAGTTCGCCTGGTGTGCAAAGGTCGGCAGCTTCGGGTGGAGTGAAAACCAGTCAAGTTCAAGTTTGCTCAACAGTAGTTCTTGTAGTCGGTCTGAAGTCGGAAATGGCTTCCTTCTCCCATCCTCTCCCCCAAAACGGTGTTTTCTATGTTTGTATCCTTTATTCCCCAACCGATGTGCAGAATTGGCTCCTTGTCTTGCAGGATAGCTTGATGTTGCAAATCCATGTCTGACATTCGGCTCTGAATGGCTTCCATCTCTCGGGCGTTCTTCTCAAAAAGCTCCGTAATTGTCCTGGTGGATACGGATTCAGTGCATTCCGCCCAAGTTCGCCCCTACAAGGATCAGCCACCCTTACAAGCCCCAAAGAAGCACAGCAAAACGGATCAATCAGGGATAGTCAGGGCATCTATGGCTGACAAATACGTAGGTGGGACAACTTGACCTTGATGGTCTGGGCATCCGATCTTCTGAACACAACACCAGAGTGGATATTATTGGTACTAGTCTTCTTGCAAGGTAGAAAGATGCCCAATGTGGCAATTGGGTGATGGACAAAATCCCACACCAACGTAGAACCCCTTATCATTTGCATACATCCACAAGCTGTGATGAGAAAACAAATGTGTCATAGTCACATCTTTCAAACAACCACAGTTATATAACTAATTGCAAAGGTGCAGGATGTCGGCACCGCACTTGTAGACCTCACCTATTTCAGCTTCGAGCTGCACCAATAGGGTGCACTCGGCTGATGAGAAGATCCTTTTCTACATGCCCGTTCGGCACCCCCTGCCCCCGCCGATAGCATCGGTGCTGACCGCCCACACGAGCCCCAATGACCCAGAAAAATCCCAATGGGATGTGCTAAGCGAGTCTCAGAGTCAGAGTGCACTTCCCCAAACTCACTTCTTTAGCACCCAACTGGGCGAGGAACATCGTTTTGGACTTGTGGATGAATGGAATAGGTCCACTGCAAGCAGTAGTTGCAGTGGCCGGCCATTTTGAACATTGTTCGTGACTTCATGTGACTTCTGTAGTAGTTGCAGCCCCCTTGCCATTCCCACAGATCTTCATCTTCCACGTTGTCCAAGCGGCCCCTCCACGCTGTCCAGGCGTTCTTCAATGGATGCTTGATGGGCCTGTCAGCTGCAGATCTGGATCTGCAGGCGACGGGGTGGTCTTTGTCAACCGGACTAGCCGGGTTGGGGGAAATCGGATTTCGAAGTGGGCTATATAGTACAGTTGCCACTGCTAATCCGCTGTTTTGAGGCAAATCCCCAGGGCCCTTCCGAAATGCCCCCCTGAACAAGCACCAAAGCTCCCAACTGACTGAACACATGTTGAAAGCATCTGCGATTGTTTGATCATCTAACTCCAATATAGTTGTATACGAGTTTCTGACGACTCTTTGGATCTGGGGAAACCACCCGGCTAAACCCGAAGCAGCTCGGCCTCCCATCTTCGGCCCTGCGCTCGGGTTTGACCATGATGCTCCCGAAGCTCATTCATGTTCTCCTCGAGGAGCGAGATTGGTTGTTTCTCAATCACCTAGACCAAAGCAAATGATATATCGGATAAAAAATACGTCAAGAAATTCCAGAAACATGAGTCCATGAGTCCGTGATATTTTATGACTCCTCATCCCCCGGAGCAAGTCTCTGTGTTGTACCATGTCCGACTTCAGTGACCCTTTGTCTTCGGAGGTTCCGTCCCAATTCGCCGTCCTGCAACTTTGTCAGGTCTGACGTGAACGCTGCATGATGCTGTGCCAACGTCCGTCCCAGCTCCTGGGACCAATGCCGTGCGAGTATCGCGGCCGGCATACTGGTCGGTGCGTGCATAAGGAGGTGTTCGTCACAATGGTTTTGCAAAAGCACTTGGCAAGAAGCTGCTGAGGAAAACAAATCATTATGGAATTGAACGGCAGTTATGTGCTTGTTGCACCATTGAAGCCAGAGTCAAACTTGTTTCCCGAAGATTTTCCAACTGTCCATACAAGAGTTCCCGTTTTCGGGTAATGTCCTCATGGCTGCTTGCTGTGTCACTGTGGCTCGCATGAAGCCTTTCGGGCAAACCGGGAGCGCAATGGCCTACCGAGCCCATAGGGTTCCTAAGATCCACCTATCCAGTTTTCCTCTCTGGGCATCACCCACATAGCGCCACCACACAATCTGGCAACGTGAGCTAAATTGAGAACCTAAAAGAAAGGATTCGTGGAGATGCTGGGCACAAAGGTCCACAAAGGTCAAGCAGTCCAGCATTGTTAAAAGCAACGATGCAAAACCTGTCCACCACTAAGTTCTTGCAACTCGGTAGCTTTTGCAAGCGTTCCTCCAAAGCCTGATGGCTCTCTTTGGCCGCTTGTTGAGCTCCGTGCAGGTCCTCCAGACGCGCGTGGGATGGAACATGATGAAACATGTTGACCCCTTCGGAGGTTGCCATTGGACCCAGTTCTTGAGATCTGATCTTACCTGGGATAACACCAGCGAAGGTGCTTCATGCCATGTGAAGAACGCCCAAGCTAGCCCAGCCAACGAAAACCCATGAGTGCATCTCTGCGTAAAGAGGACCATGAATGTTATCTTTAAAACCCTCATTCAATGCTTCAATTGATATAGAGGCTCCACAAAACACACTCCTCAAGTCATCTCAAGACCACCAAGTCCTAGCATGTAGAGCCACCCCCCTCCTCGTGTCTTTTCATTGTATCGGCGTTGCTGTTGTGAAGCCTCAATGGAAACAATTGCCCACTGTCAGCAACATCTGCCAGATTAGCCACAAGTGGGCACCAACATGTTCAAGCCCGCTACAGTGTCTTTGGATCTCCTGAAGCCAGAAACAAAAATGAACTACATCTTTAAACTCTTTCTCCAGCTTGGCAAATGTAGAGACTGGACCAAAATGGGGGGGGCTATGTCTTGATAGCATTGACCAAAAGCCACGCCCATTGTGTAAATGCTGTCTGTTCAGAAGGTTTTTGGGAAACTGGGCCTGCAATACTGTGGCTGCTTTTGCATCATCAACACACAAATCCAAGTTAACCCTCACAAAGGTCTTGCAACTCAGTAGCTTTTGCACGCGCTCCTCTAAAGCCTGATGGCTCTCTTTGGCCACTTGTTGAGCTACATGCAGGTCCTCCAGAACGACTTTGGAAAAACACCACCAGAAATACTTCAATAACATGATGTTTCTATCAGCAATGCTGTGAGGGATGCATGATATTGCACCTGCATGTTCCGCCTGCCATGCATTCATATTGTATAATAGAAGAAGCCTTCCACGCATACATCGTCCTCGCCAGGAGGTCTTTCACCTCTTAGACATGAGATCTGTCATCCCACTCAAACAGCTGCAACCACAACGTGCTTGAAGCTTGCTGAGCTCACTTACTTCCAAAAGCCTCACCATGAAATTGCACTTCTTGGTGTTGGTACTTCTTGACGCTTTGCACTGGGGACCTTTGTGAGAAATGCTGAAATGCTGTAATAGTAGCATTGCATAATATATACAAGTCGATACCAGTTGGCTTTATGTTTTCTGCCATAAAAACACGTCTCTTTGCATCACCTAGTCTCTTTTTGGGGGGGACAATGGCGTGCCGGCCATGTTTGGGCTTTTCGGACCTGATGTTCTCGGACCGGTGTCGCCGACGCTCCACATGGCTCCACCCCCAAGCAAGTCATCTCACCGGTCTCGCCGGGCCATGCGTGTACCAAGTCCAAGCATGTAGAGTACACCCAGTCTCCTCGTGTCTCTTCGTTGCATCGGCGTGGCTATTGTGAAGCCTCAAGCTGTTGCTCTGGAAACAACTGCACGCTGCCAGCAACATCCATCATAACATGTCCTTCATACATAGCAGCAGATTGGCATACCATGGCCTACCGATATTTCACACCCAATGCCTGCTTGATGAGGGGGAGAGGCAAGAGGGCTTCAAGGAATACACCAACTGGTCTGGTAGAGTAATGTAGGGCACACAAGAAGCGAGAAACTCCCTCTCCCACTGTAGACGGAGAGCGCAGGGTGTTGGAGTCATACAACCGAGACCTAGCTGGTCCGAGACCTGGCTGGCTATGCCAGACGATGCCATCTGGCTGTATGGCTGTATGGCTGCCCACAAAGGATTCTTTTCTGAAGAGACAGTTGGAGTTGGTCCATGTGTGCTACCACTGCGTTGCAATCTTGCAAAGTTTTATGAAATTGTCACACATGTTACAATATTCATTGAAGCTTGGATACTCACGAAGGTTCTTCTGTAGAGCTCCGTGATTTTCATGGAGTTGTTGATGGAGGCCTTGGAGGTGTCCCAGACGATCTGCCAGGGATTTATGACTCTCCTCGCAGGGGGGCGGGCTTCAAAGTCTCAAAAGCCTAACAGGTTCCAACTCCCACCGTTTCAAAATCAGCGAATCATACAAATAGATAGAGAGATAGATGGATGGATGGATGGATAGATAGATTAATAGATTAATTGGATAGATAGATAGATAGATAGAGATAGATATAGATAGATATAGATAGATAGATAGATAGATAGGTAGATAGATAGATAGACAGACAGACAGACAAACAGACAGACAGACAGACAGACAAACAGGTAGATAGATTCTTGATATGTGTATGCTTTTGTATGTATGCTTCTTTCTTTGGCTCTTCTTTCACCAGCGCTGGTTCAACAGGTAGCATGGAACAATGGGTTTCTCATGGTTTCTCGGTGCAGCAACCAGGGCAAAAGGCGCTGAGATATGGCCCACGACCACTTTGGTCCAAGAAACCCAACCTATCCAAGCCTAACTCAAGCTATTCGATGTTCCAACGTGAGGGACCTGACGATGGACGTGATCTTGATTCACCTTGCAGCACCTTTCGGACTCGAGGAATACCAACCAGGCAAGGCAAAGTATTCCAAGATATTCCATTGTTTGGACGTGTTTCATCGACCTGAGGCCTTAACCTACCCGTTCAGCACTGGTCAATTTGTTCTCGTCTCTTCCTCTCCCTCCGTGGGGCGACCCAAATGGAAATGGCTAGCCAAAGATCGCACCAAAGCATGCAGGCCTTTTCAACCACTCAATCAATTGCTCTCCCTCTCTCTCTCTCTCTCTGTGTCTCTGTCTGGTGTGATTGTGTATATATATATATATGTGTGTGTGTGTGTAGGTTCCAATCATCAATCTTTGAAGCTTTGAAAAAAGGAAACGCATTCTTCTCCTGGTGATCCACCTTCATGCCTTCCACGTGTCGCCGTAGCTCAGAGTGCTGGTCCTTCATCCAGTTACGTCGTGGTGGCTGGGAAGGCAGCACAACCACAACCACAAGGAGAAAGCACAAGAACAACACAACACCACGGCTTTCGCCGTGGTGTTGGCCGCTTTCAAGTGCTTGCATACACCAGGCCTTCCAGGCAGGGAGTACTGCTCAAAGGGTTTGGGGTCTTCACGTGCTTTTGCCTGACACGCCTACTGACCAAATTGGCCAATTCTTGTGGACCCCATCTAAGATCCATGTGCAATGCCCGCCGACTCTGGCGCACTGGCGGCTGGGTGAATTCGTATCGGAGTGAACTACCCGACAGTTCTTCACCTGACAGTAATGGTTCGAGGTTTCAATCTGTTTCGAGTCGCACCGGTGCCACACAAAACTTCGGCTGCGAGTTCGGCTGCGGCAAACTCTCCCGTCCTGACTGGAGCCGGATAGGTCTGACCTGAGTCGTTGGTTTTGTCATTCTGGTCATCTCACTTGGTTACCAGAAAGTACCAGAAAGTCCCCGAGTACATCACAAGCACCCTGATAGCTATTCCTTATGATTTTGTGTTTGGCGGGATTTCCATGGGCCACGAAAAGAGAGTGAGTGCTTGTCACTCTTTTTCAGACTTGGCTCCAAAAATCTCCATCATGTTGGCACACCGCAGCCCGCGATGCCCGTGACATGGACTACCACCAGTGCTCATGTTCCTGAGCGATGTGCGATTTACATTGCTAGGCCACATCTAGGCACTGAGTTCCTGAGGTCACAGAAGAACGACACTCGGTCTCCAACCCCACTGCGTCACGGCCTGGCAGCTAGCATCTCGCTTTAATTGATTTTATGGCAGCGTCACAGCCGCGCAGGAGAAGCATATCACCTGGTGACTCGTTCAATCAACAAATGGAGCGATGTGCAGGCCAAGTGGCAGTTGCTGCTCCAGGCGGTCCAAGCGCCTTGAGAACTTCTCCTCCATGCTATGCTGGGCCTCCGGAGCAATGCACGCCCAGCAGGTTTCACTGATCCGCTCTGAAACGAAGAGTCAGTCATCTGGCAGAACATGATACGAGGCAAAAGTGGGATCCATCTCGGTGCTGTGTGCGTATGTGACACAGGAGTCGTTCTTGATCAATGCGTGATCTCTTGAGGTCAGTCAAGTAGAATTGCGAGGTGAGCCTGGTGCCGTTTTGGATGCAAAATGGCTTTCCAAGGCCAACTCTGGCAAACACATCACATGGAAGCGGAACATGGGCCCCTGGAATACCATTGTGCTAGTGGGGGGGGTAAAGCTGACATGAAGGGCAACAAGCGGGCAATAGATGATTTTGGACGTGAGAGCACTCCTCATCCAAGAGCTCATGGCACATTGCCTCTGCATATTCTACCCCATCCCTTGCTAGGTTGCATACAGAATAATCCCGAGTACCTATTAAAAAACGGACCCCAATTAAAAAAAAGTCATGCCGGATCCCCTAAATTCGGTTTATATTTGGTTTTAAATTGCCGCCCTTTCAAACCGCTACTAAACTACCAACATGGTCGATTTTGGGGGTAGTTTTTTTTTATTAGGTTCCCCAAAACTCCCTCAAAATAGGTCCAAAACTCCCTCAAAATCTGCACTTCAAGGTCAACAAAGTACTGCACCTGCCACGAATTCTGCACTTCAAGGTTCACAAAATCTTGCACATCCACTGACCCTATTTTGGGCTCCCCGATTTCAGGGACCCCCTATTTAAAAAAATGCGACCGAGGTTTCTTTATTAGGGGGGGGGGCGTGTTTTTTATTAGGTGGACCGGATTAGTCGTAAATACCAGTGGATTCTCATCCGCTTTGGCACACTGCGATTAAGCGTTTGGAATAGAATCAGGATGGTACTAATCGGTATTAATTATGCCGGAGATATCTGCAGACCTGCAGAAGAGCAAGGTCCCCCCCCGCCTTTTGCAAGGTCTCGCGCCAGGAATGTTCCATCTGCTCTTTTACCTCGAGGGCCACGTCTAGCAAGTAAAATCAAGAACCCACAAACAGTGAAGACCGTGAAGGCCGTCAACACAAGTGATTGCACGCTTCCCAAGCAACTCGTGCTTCCCACTTGATCTTAGATTGGCCCTGGATCAAACCCACAACTCACTCCTGCTAGGAAGCTCTCCTTGGACCTCAACCTCCGACACTGAGCGCCCATGACTCATCCAAGGGGCGGAATGAAGCTTTTCATCGGTGGTCACCAGTTTGGTCAGCTGCGACATCTCCAGGAGTTGCTGGTCCACATACTGCTGGTGTTTCTTCTGGTTCATTTCCATCAAGGACTTATCCTCAAAATCCAAAGTGATCCATTCCAGGACCAGCTAGTGCCCCCGCTTCTCCGAAGAAGTCCGAAACATCAGTCCTCCCTGAAGCCGGCCCTGCATGGACCTGCTGTCGACCAGTTTCCAGTCTAGAAGTCTAAAGAGGCTGGTGCCACTATGTGGCGCCAACGCCCAAAAAGGCTGAACAAAGTTCATGCCTGCAAAGCACACCTTGGAGACACCTTGACACATCACAGGTTTCTACGCGCCTCGCAGCCCACAACCCAGTAGCCCAACAGTTTGTGATCGCAAATCATGTAAGTTCAATCTGGGTCAATCCCCCAAAATGGCTCAGCGTTTTCCATCCATTCCCCAAAATTGTGGTTGGACAGGACAACTTCCATGTCTTCCCAGATTCAAAAGAGCTTCATCAAATACAGTAACATCAAATATATAACGTTCTGGAATCTTCACTTGTAAAGTGCGCTTTTAGCACTCTTCAGCCACCACATGGGTTGCCCGAGGGTTTGCCAGGGCGCGAAGGAGTTGGTGCTTTGGAGTGTCTCCAGCGTGACCTTGTGATTTGAGAGCTCAGTCTTCAAGGCCTCAGATCCGCATAGTGAGTCATGCTATTTGGATGAGATGAAGAAGAACTCCCAACCACTGGGATCAACGAAACCATCTAGTGTGATCTAGTTGTCACTGGACACGTTTCAGGATGTTTCTGAACCTTCTAGTCTGCGACTGTTGAGCCATGACAATGATCTTTGCTGTTTGGCCAAGGCTCGGCTAAATCCCTCGCCAGCGCTGAGGTATGATCCCGGATCAAGCGCAGCTGTTTCTGATGCACTTCACGCTCCTGGTAGGGTGCGAGTTGTTGAAGCTGGTGCACCAGTGGGGTGACCAGCCTGCTATGAACTTAGGCCCCTCGGTTCGGTCCATCAACAACAACCTCATCCTGTCCGCCATGAGTAGCTCAATTGTTCTTTCAATCCAACATTTCTGTGTCCAAACCACTCGGCAAGCACCTCATGGACGAATCCTGCCCCGCAGGACCGTCCATTTATGAATCTGTGGCCATTTCAGTGTGGAGCCAAATCAGTGCAGACTTAGACATGGTCGCATCTTGCCTGGAGGTCCAATGAACTCAACTTCTTCTCCCATTCCGCGTGGCTGTTGGTGGACTCCATGCCACACGTGCCACGGGCGCCCGTGTGTTGCGCAACACGCGCCCGGGCGCAGGAAACGATGACAGCTGAGGCAGGAAATCAGGTGGATTGGCTGACAAGTAACAAGCAGTCCATGTTGAACATTCAAATTCATCATCAGAATTCCTCATTTGGGTGGGGATCTGACCAAATGTTTACAGTAAGTGGCTTGCTGTTTCACGATGATCCGTTGGTTTGGGAGCAGCTGATCCCACCCCACGCGGAAAACACCTCCTCAAAAGCATTCCAAATCCTTAAGAATGCCAAAAAGGCTTTTGGGAGTGAACAGACCATGCCAACGGGGCCACCGAACGAACATCGTCCAAGCCGAATCTTTGAGGTCGTCATGATCCGGATGGTTCATGTGAACATAGGAGGCTGACCCAATCAATACATAGCAGCACTTATAGAATTCCTGGTTCATGCCATTTTTTTGGATGATCCATCCTCCATGTTGTCATGTAACCCATCTACTGGTCATCATTGGTCCATGATCCGGATGACATGTCTGAGAAAAACCACCGGTTCAACCTGTCAACTACAACCCCCGCCTGCAACTCTGGCAGCATGTTCGAGGCCAAAATGGGAGACTTGAAGATCTGCCGATCCGGCTGTTCGAGGCCCAACATGGGAGGAATGAATGCTGGTCGTGAACCGAAATCATTTGACATTCATGATCCCTTTTTCCGGGGGGCTGCAGGCAAGAAACACGGACATCACTAAGCATTGGCTAAGATCTTCAAACTACTATGGTATGTACGATCCACCTTAAACATACTGCAACGGTGGGGATCACAAGGCGAAGGTCCTCCGGACTTTGTTGGGACTCTGGGAAGGTGACGATCGAGGAAAAAACTCTCCCAAAGATTCACATGAAACCTGGGTGGTAAGGGAACTTCAGGAGTGTTCCAAGCGTGGCCCCTTAACAGCTGTACACCCTCCATGAACCAACATCACTCTGGTGTAGAGGCAGCCCTCAGAGTAGCAAGGAATAGTCTTCCAGGACTTTCCGGAATCTTCCAGGGATGAGAACACCCCAGAACGGATCCAGCTGGTAGCTGATCCTCCCATGGCCTGCTGTAGGAGATGCACCGAGCGAATCCTCACAAGTGCAATCAGTCGATGGGGTGGAAAGGGAGTGCAGTGCCGGCGCGGATTCGGAGCAAGGAAGCCATGGAACGAGAAATGGGACAACATGGAACAACATGGAACATGGAATAAAAGTGAAGATCTTCCAAACGGTTGCGCCCAGTGTCAACGTTCGATATTTCCGGATCGTGGCACCCATGGGAGAACCGCTGCTCTCCAGTCAGAGCCTTGACGATCTCCCCCGGAGTCGGAGCGGGCTCAACGCATGGTTCATCTGCTCACGTTCGCTTGGCATGATCCTCGTTAGGACTCACCGGCATCATAATTACATAATATATATATAACTCTTTTTCGTGTGTCTACTGGCACGTGTGTGAAGGAAACTCCTGACTGTGATGGAATGTTGAGTCGCTGAGCTTCCAGCAAAATGGCAAAATCAAAGCATCCCCGAAGGTTTTTCAGCAATGCCGCGCAAACCTGGGCAGCGGGGTGAGCGAAACAAAACAAAAAACAAATAAGTAGAAGCTGCTGCAGCAAGGGCCGGAAGGGGCTCCAGCTTGGCGCCGTCATGTGCCATCTTTTGTTTGCTAGGCTTTCCTCCACCACAAACATATGCAGGTTACTGCAGGTTGCTCATGAGCTCTGGTGGTACTTGTTGTTGGTGGATTATGTGCTCCTCGACCGTATAGTATTGGTGTACATGAGGGCACCATACAGTAGGAGCCGCGCTCCCTAAAGATCTTGGGATACTTTGGGAGATGCTGGCCTTGGTGCTCCTTTTGGAGTATAGGAACAAAGCACATGCACAAAGCTTCATGCTCAGCCCAACACCTTGCCGTAGGGTGGGGGTATCTTCACCAACTATGCAGGCAATGTGCCCTGAAGAAGCCTTCACAGCTGCGGCCTGCCTTCTACAAGGCCCTCGACCTTGTCGGGTCATGAACGAGGCAACTGGGGCCGACACATTGTGCCGCAGCCTGAGAACGGGATGGTTGCTGGGTGGTTGGGTCCCACAAGATGCTGCAAACACGGTGGTATCATACAATGGTTGGAGCTCTAAGTTGGTCTTGCACTAGCTTTTAGAAAGTCAATACCACGTTGTTGTAAAGTTACACTGACACTTGCCGAAGCACTGGCAGTCTCTAAAAAACGCTTGCATTGCATGGCACTGCATTCTTTCATGTGATCAAATCCCTGCTATGTCAAAAACTGAGACTGTACATTCAACACTGGATGACCATGCTAGGCTCCACAGCTTGGAAGCATAGTCTGAGATGCTCGCAGTAAGCATATTTTTTGGGGTGCGGTGTGTGTGTACACTTCAGCTCTGGGCCCCCTGCAATGCAAAGTACTCAGGGACCGCACTGAAAATCTCAGGGTGCCTGGTCCCCACCACAGCTGCACACAAGCACGCATAGCTCCACCACTACAAGGCGCCGCAACTAAAAAGACCTGGTCCTGTCAGAGTCAGCCTGACATCCGTGTGAAAGCGCAAGGTTGTGGCAGTGGCAAATAATGCTGAGAAGCTCTAAGAAGCTCTGGCAATGGAATCAAGAAAAATGTGCATCCGCACTACCACACTATATAGACTGAGCAACCTGGATTTCCAAAGGTTGAAGCAATCTGAGTGGTTGGGCCGAGTGGTTCGGGGTTGAGCGGCACATCTTGAGTGTGGAAGTACGCCTTCCAGGATCCTTCGGTCGTGGTGAACCGGCTTTCACCTCCGTCCGGTTCGGACGAGCCGACGTTCTTCGTTGGTGTTCGCCGTCGACCGGCGGACTGGGGGACCGTGACGCGGCGATGCAAGCGTTCAACAGCTCCAAACCTCGGCGGTGCCGGAGTGCGCCTACGCCTCCGGGCGAGGACGGGCGAGGGCAAGGCGAGGATGGAGTCACCGCTGTTTGGTGCTTCAAAAGGCCTGCTCCGCTTGGTGCCTCATCTTATGCGGCATCTTGAAGTCAGGTGGACTGACCTGTGTCTAACAACCGGGTCGCGTTTTTCTGCACTTTTGCTGTGCTTCTTGGCACTACTACTGCTACTTCTTCTTCTTGGCTTTTGGAAAACTGCATCCAAGATGCACAGCGGCCGGGGGAACTTCACACTGGCAAGCCAGTAGCCCTGAGCAAACGATGGTTGGTCACATTATGTTGCTCAAATGGCCAGGACCTAGTTGTCATCACCCCCCGAACGGGTGGCTGACATAAATCCCCATTTCCCAAATGATCTAAACGGTTGCCCCATCCACTCAGAAATCAATGTATACTCACCTGTGTGTGGGTGTGTGTATATATATATATATACATACGTGTGTGTGTGTGTGTGTGTCCCACCCTGGACAAAGGGTTTTTCCACCACCTTCGTTCCACAAGCAGGGGAGTGGAGCAGGCCTGCAGAGCTCCACTTAACAAAGCTCTCTGCAGTGTCCTGAGGATATCGGCCAGGACGCTGGCCGACGTACCTGCTCGTTCTTTCACAAGCTGTTACTCCAATCTTCCGCTTTTGATTCATGGTTCTTCACGTTTTCCACCCCATAAACATTCGTCCCCAGCAGCTGTGCAGCCGGTTCGCGTTTCCGCCGCTTGCGAGTGCCAACATTGTTCAACAATACAGTTTGAGCTGACCTTTCCACCTTGCTGTTCCATCGCCTTCCTTCCCAACGAGACAATTGCGTTAACTGAAAACCCAAGTTCGAAGTGTCACCCCCTGTGCCAAAGGGTTCACTGCCACCGTTACCGTCACCACCATTTCCCAAAGCAGGGGGATGGAGAGGACACGTGAGGCTCCATCCAACGAAGCTCCTCACGTGCTCCTAGGATATCATCAGGGACGCCTGATGACGTACCTGCGCCGTGACACTACTCCACTCTTCCTTGCTGTGTTTTGATGCCATGGTCGTTCATGTTTCTCCCCCCAAACCTTTTCCTCCCCAGCAGCGATGCAACTTGAGCCGCTTCGTCACCGCAGTCAAGGGCAACAACCATTGTTCAAACACCTACAATTTCTCGGACTTTTCGCCATGCTGTTCCACCACCATCCTTCCCATCGTGGTAACTGAGTTAACTGAAAACCAATGTCAGAGTGTGTTTCGCTCAGCCGTCCCACTCGGGTGCTGAGTGTGATCCCCGTCACTGGGGCGCTGTTCCATTGGGAAAGCATTAACGGAACTCACCACCACTCACTGGAATTTCACGGGAATTCGCCTCCACTTCCACCGAATTAACTGCCTCAACGGCCGCAGGGGCTGCGGGTTTTTTGCGACAGTTTTGGAGGTTTTTTGCAACGGTGAGGTGTGAGAGGGTTTTTTTGCGACGGTGACCGCAGAAAGGGTTTTCTGTGACAGTACTGTCCGCAGGGGGGGTTTTTGCGACGGTGGGGCGAGGGTTTTTTGCGAGGGATAGAGAGGTGGCAAGCGTTTGTGGGGGTTTTCTGCGACGGTAACCGGGTTTTTTTGCGACGGTAGCGCGTGGACGGGGTTTTCTGCAACGGTAAGCGGGGTTTTTTTGCGACAGTAAGGGGCTCGAGGCGACGGTACTATAGTAGTACGACGACGACGACTACTACTACTACCACTTCTACTTCTACTTCTTACTACCACTGCTACTACTACTACTACTACTACTACTAATACTTCTACTTCTTGCCACTACTACTACTACTACTACTTCTACTTCTACTTCTTGCTACTACTACTACTACTACTACTACCACTACTACTATTACTAGGACTACGACGACGACTACTATACTACTATACTGCTACTACGACTACGACAACCAGTACGACGAATAGTATATTAAGACTACTAACTGCTAGAACGAGTATACTACTCCTTTGATTTCACTTGTACCACCAGACCGCATATCGTGGCACAAGATGTCGGCAATGTGGAAGACAGTTGCAAGTTGACAAGCGTTATCCCTCAGCACCTCTTGGCTTCCCGCATGCCGCGGTACTGAGCT